TGTGGTGAGAAGAGGAAGTCACAAGTACAGGAAACAGACTGAAGAATAAGTATTTATTAGAACAAACTTCCTGTGACTGAAAACTCTTTCCAATATCCTGCCTGCTGTCATTTCTTGTATATGCATCTGCAGTTCTGCTCTTTCCCCTCAATTATTTTCAAAACCAAAAAATGACAAAAAACCTCCATTGTATGTTCAACTTTATAAATGCTAGTGATGTTGGGTGGGCTGGGGGTTTTGGTTTTATGTTGTGTGCTTGTATATGAGAGCAATAAATGTAGAAACCTTAAGCACTGTTTAGATATACTCTAGAATCACATGCAAATACTCATGACAAAGTGATCTAAACTTCATTATTCATAAACCTGACAGCTACCTCAAGAGTTCCAACAAAATACATTTCCCCAAACTACAGCATTTCCCCATCCAAAATAAAAAAAAAAAAAAACCCAACAAAAAACCTCCAGTCAAACTCACCCAACAGAGGCAGGAAATTTAAAAAAAAACCCCAAAAAACGCCAAACAACCAGTTGTGAATCAGTAACATTTTCTCTGAAGAGAAATGTCATTTCTTTAAGACCCACTTATCTGGATGACATGCAGAATCAGAATCCAAGAACAGCTGCACTGGGTTACACCAAATTGTTCAACTGGCCCTGTATCTTGCCTCCAAGAGCAGCCATAAATAGATACCTAGAGTTTCAAGATACTCTCCCTGTCTCCAGCTATTTTCAGTTCAGGAATTTCTGGCACCAGATGTAGTTCCTGTGCATTTAGTAATTCTCAATTAATAGCTTTTTCCACAAACATATCTAGTCTCACATTGAGCCAATGAAAAGAAATGGCACTTCTGAAAAAGAAATTATTCCCTGCTTCTGATCTAGTCTCAACAAATCACAGAAAAAAATGACAGCATTCATACATACATGGAAAAATCTATTTTTTGGAGGTCTCTAGTGCCTCCTTTGGACTGCAAAGCTACTCTAATAAGTCTCCTGTCCTATCAGTGAAGTCACACAAAAAAGTTTCAGTAAAGGTTTTAAAAGGTTTCAAAACTTCAGTAACATTTCTCTTCAGCTCTGTGCAGCAAATACACAGAATTCTTGACAGCGCTGTGGTTTCAGATGACCCATATAACTTGTTTGTGACACTGTTACAGCAGAGTAATGGAGATTCATAAACTTGGGCTAATAAAACTTTTATGGTGCAGCACATCAGCATGTAATATTTCTCAGTATAATGAAAGAGAAATAGATCTATTCAACACTCTACACTCAAGCCCAGCGTTGACCTAGAATTGAGAAAGCCTTGCCAAGAGCTTCCTTCATTTTAGGACATATAGCTTCCAGATCAAACCGAAATGGCCACTTCATCAGCTATGAGAGAGATTAATTCTCCAGGGTATTCAGTTGCAAATAATGCATAATTACTTTAACAGAATGTCATGCAATGACACGACAAAAACTTATGAGGTTAATTCCATGCCCACTGAAGTTACCGACAGCCTTGAAAATCATTGAACAGTAAAGAGGTAGGAGTGGGAGATTTTAGCAGTATTTTAGAAAGCATAATTGACATTTCTGAAAATTTTACTCACTTTTCTCAGTAAAGTTATACTGTCAAATTTGCATAAAACATTAAAATATTAATCTTAAACATTTGTGCATCATTTGAAGAGCCTTTTAAGAGCTCTGCCCCAAATCTTTGTGACTTCTTCAGGTTCTGATATAGTGTTGCAAGAGTCATCTTTTATGGATGTTAGAATACTTACCTGCATTTAATGAAGGCAAGTTTTCTTTACCACTCACACCTTCAGTGGCGGTACATTCACGAACCAATGCACACTACGAAAGAAATGCAACCACAAATGTAACACATTCAGGTGTTACAATGAAATTCATGGCAGTTTATAAATGGCAGACCAAAAAAAAAATCACTGATAATATAACTTCCCAACCCTTAATTATAATTTACATTTTTATCTTAATATTTCTGTTCCAATATACTGTAACACAATCAGAATTATAGCAGGAAAAAATGTCAAAACATGATCAGCTATTCCATAATAAAACAGGTATCCTACCAATACAATGGCAGAGGTTAAAATAATTTTGACAAGTTCTGTGCTTTCAGAGAGGTTTCTTTTGACAAGGCAGTTTTCACGTGCATCAGAACACACTCCATGAATTTTTAAACAAGGGGAGAGTAGGAACCACAAAAATTCTTTAAAACGTGCTCATGGTTTGTGATTAATTTGTTATACAAATGAATTGGAAGATTTCTTTGATAAGACCAGCATCTAAAAGTATTAAAAGATTATATAAAAATCAAAGTGTAAAGCTATGTCAAATGTACTAGGATGTGTATTCTAATGCTTCGCCTCCCCCAGTCAGAAAAAAAACTCAACAGATAGCTTCTAAAGGTGACAGGGAGCTCTGTTCCCAAGGTTTCCTCAATTTATAGATGTTCTGTTAAAGAGCTCGAAGCAAAGAGCAAAACATGACGTACTCTCTACAAGTTGCTAGAGTGGATTTAACTATCTCCTTCTTCTTTCATGAGGAATTCCCTGCACATAGTTTATCTAATGAGTTCCCAAATCTAATTCAGAACTGATTTATTTGAAGTAATTCAATAACTACATTCTCACAACTGCATCCTCACTATGAACATATAAACGAAGACTCCGTGATGCAACTAATCCATAAAAACTAAGGACTCCTTTAAAGACCACAGAAAAGACAGCTGCCGCAAGGTTGGTCTTTCTTGTCAAGTATTAGAAGCCCCTAAAAAAAAGATGTTATTAAAGCCTTCTGGCTCCCTCAAGCTCATTAATTACATCTCAAATAATTGTGAGAACTCTCATTCCAAATTCTGAAATGGAAAAAAAAAAGATAATGGAAGAGAAGGCTGAAAAAAACAGTTCATGTTACATATCTTGCGGAAGTTGTATAGTACAAAACCAGAATGCCTACTTCAGAGCATTTCTGCTCTTTCCAAGCCCTTCTGTCCTTCCTCTTTTCCCACACCATGAGCACCTCCACTCAGAATTCCTACATGCACCCTCTAGTCAACACTGCCCTATGCCAGCACTCTGAGGCACCGCTGTTGTGCCATCCTTCCCATTGGTTTTCCCCACCACTGTGTGCTCCCACGAAATGCAGCTGAACCTGAACCCTTTGTAAGGGGATTCACCTCTCCTTTGGTTTGCCTGTCTGGCATTCTTTCCCGGTTCTCAGTATTATGGGTACAGGTTGCATATAAAAATCCACATGAACAGGACTTCAAGGGCAGAAAACAGAGGGACTGTCCAAAGGAAAAAGAAGTCAGATTTATGGTGTCTCTATGGACAGTTTTATGATCAGGAGTGATTAAATATGGGCAACTGAAGTCAAAATCAGCTCTTTTTTTCCAAAGAAGGGGAAGGACTAGGAAACTGTGGATAAAGTACTACCCTGTACATTTTAATGAAAAACTACTTTTACAGTTTAGGGAGATCAAGTGTACCTAGTACTTTATTCCATAATTTTTTTAAGTCCTTAACCCAATTTGGAATTAGTCATTTAGGCATTTGGTACAGCTGATCATTCTAATGAACTTTGTGCAATGAACTGAGTTTCTACCTTTTGATCCTGGGCATCTGTTGTGATGTGGTCCGTTTCCCCATCTTCTAGCTCTCCCATCTTCACAAGATTGACTTCAATGGTACCAACTGTCTTTCCACCATCAGAAGTCCTAGAAAAAAAAACACCCATGACATTGGGTCACCTGCAACATCGCATTCCTTCAGTAAAAACACTGTCAGTAAGCATTTAGTCCCCTCTCCATTCTGTATAGCTGCAGTCACCTGTATTGAACTCGTTATTTACAATCATAAAGGAAATATTAACAGTGAGGCATATTTTATTTTCACCAAATTCTTTATAGCAATGAAAGTTTTCATCATGAAATTGAGGATGAGTAAGTGCTATAAAAGATGGAAGAATCCACGAACATTGCCAAGTTTTCATTCTGGCCATTATTCTGTCTGTGGATTGTCAGAGAAAGGGCTGTAACATATTATACCAATATCTCACTTATGACCTGCAATCTCACTTCACAGTACACTGCTGTTTCCTAGCATAATCTGCAAAGAAAGGACATGCTCAGTATATTAATAAACTTCCTGCTAAACCAAAATAATGAAACTCATCTGAATATCACTTTTCCTTTCGTAGGGCCTCCACAGAGTAATTATTCAGAATCAGTTCAATTTCTTTAACTATATGGGAGAAGATAATATAGTTCCAGGTTAATTCATTTATTATCATCTCCACAAATAGTCTACTTCCAATCAGGCAAAAATAAATAGCAATTCAGATTTATATCTCCAAACAGAGTACTGCTCACTACCTTTTGGAAGAGTTTAAACTCCAAAAAGATACTGAATGCTTTTTCAGCTTTCACTGGTAGCAAAACACCAAGGTTAATGGCACAGTCTGTCTCCTCTGGCTTATTCTAAACAGTTGGATTTCAGGAAAGGAAGGAAGGAAAGGTAACAGATAATTTAATAATAATGTGGGAAGTATAACAACCACTAAGCAAAAATTGGGAAAAAAAATGACAGGAATAAGTTTAGCAGAAAGCAAAGTAAAGCAAAAGCAGAGAGTGGAAGAAGAATGAAAACAAAGGGTTTCGGGGCAATAATGTGTATAACCTCAGAAGCGAAGATGAAAACAGATGAAGCAGGACAAAGGAATATACAGGAGAGGGATTAGAGGGCTGGCAATTAAAAAAAATAAAAAGGAAAAAAAACTTTCAGAAACTAATATTACAAAAAATTGTTTCCATTTAAAAAGCCTCATTCCTAGCGCAATCCTCGCTACAGGAAACACCAAAACCCCCTGCAACACAGACACCCTTCCAGAATTTCAAAAAACAGTTCTCATAGTATATTAGCATAGGAAGGAAAAATCTCCCAAACACCCTTCTCCTCATTTCACCAGCCAGGAGACAGACTAGAGCTGGAGGGTTGACCCACTGGTACACCCTCGTGTGCTGTGCAGTGCTACGTGGAGGTACCACCCCAGGCCCTGGCTCTGCATTGAGCTCCCACAACCTGACATAATCTGTATTTCTGTACACAGTATAAGGCCTTAAGTCAGAGTGTGCCAGGTCCTTACACTGACTAAAGTTAAGCACATCTGTTAATCTTTTCAGGCATGGATGCTTATTTATCATGCTAAATCAAAACTTTCATTTTTTACAGTAAAGTCTCAAAACGTAGCTACCCCCAAGCTTCAAATTTAAATAATTACTTTGTTGCAAACCATTATGCTTTAATATGTGACTCAGTAGAATACACTCGTCTTGCAACTATTCAAATTAAATGTGTTCTTATATAAAACCTTGCAAAATACACATAATTCTTCATATTTTACGCATGTCACTACTTTATTCGTTTACTCTAAGTTAAACCCATTTCTGACAATAAAATAAAGGAGCAAGTAAAAATGAATCCATTCCAGATTGCCTTGCAACCAAAGAAGCCTAAGTTAATTAACAAAGTATACAAAAGTAATGAGGAAGAAGGGTTCAATGTCCAAAGGGTGTTTAAGAGCAAAAATACATAATAATTTTGACATGCATGAGAACAACTTAAGTATCTTCTGAATGAAGAGCATTCCCTCGAGTTGCTACAGCGTAGTGGTTTGACTTCATTTATTTTCTCCTTCCTGTATCAAATCAGCACGCAAAAGAGGCTACTTCAACAAGTGGACCACAGCACTTCCAAGGAGAAAGGTAATACAACACGTTAGTGAATCACATATACCTTTAAAAATCACAGTAAATGCCTGGCTATAAGAGTGAAAGTTTTTCAACAGCTTAACGGGTCCCCATCAAAGTGACAAGCGGATGAGCTCATTACCAGGCTGACTTAAATATCCAACAGCTCTTTGCTGTTATTCTGGTCTGAAAGGAAAAGGTTGTATTCATTTGATTTCCACAAGTAAAATCCTACCCGTACTGTTTTTTTAGGAAACATATTTTTCTAATGCCAAAGAGATCTGAGTATCTGAGACTGACCTACATACAGATCTGATTTAAAATTGCATCAGCGCAAATTAAGAGTATAAACAAATGTTGAGAAAAACAGAGCTCAGTTTGCAAATGAACCGATACAAGCTAACAAAGCATGTTGCTTGAGTAAAACAAAATAAAAATGGAAATGCCAGTTACACTTTCTCAGTCCTTGTCTGTCTTTAGAACACTAAATATTCGCCCTTGTCGCTGTTATTAGAGGCTTGGCCTCAGTATGGCAGCGAGGATTACGCTGCTTGCCTGCATGAGTGGCAATGTGTATTTGGGAGCTTTCTCAATACATCTTTAAAAAATATGATTGATCTAATTTTACTTTATATCAATTTTTTCAATAATTTTCTTCTCAAAAATCACTCTTTTTCTGATCTAGTATATATGTGATATTACAACTTGAAACATCCAGGATCTGCAAGAGAAGGTAATGCAACAGAGGAAGACTAAACAGTGAGACTGTTGCATTGTAGGTGTACTCCTTCCTCCATTCCTCTTATCATTCCACAGTAAAATCTGAAAACACAATTTAAAAAACCAAAAACCCCGAAGTTTCTTTTGAATGCTACAGGCACACAAATCAACAGAGCTCTATAAATGTCCAGGGAGATACAGTCATTAGCTGTATCAGACACTGTGAATTTAAAATACCACTGGTGTGTAAGTCTTCAAACAATAGACATGTCATACATTTAAAACTTTCAAGCAACAACACGAGATTAAAATTTTGCTTGAAAGACAATGAAAAGTGAGAAACAGAAATGATGCAGTGCAAAAAAAAAAAAAGCCTAGTGATCACACTTAAATAAGATAAAAATCTATATTATTTTACTTTGCACTAACAGAAAGAGTATTGCATACAACACACATATACGCGTACACTTCGTGTCATTTGCCTGGACAGACAGGAAGAGACAATCTCACACATATACACTGTCCAACAGGGCATCGGGAGAATAATTAATTGGTTTTAGGACACTTCATAATGCATTAGGATACAATCAGTGTATTTGCTGTAGTTTAAGAAAGTTGAATAGTGCACTCTGCACTCATATGGTGCAGTGAAGACTGTCCCTGCATCAAACTGCTTACAGTCACGAGACAAGTTAGACTAGAGACCAACAGGACAAAGGATTGCACCTTGACAAACCTGTGTAGGGACAGTGGGGATAGGGAATACAGCAATAAAAAGTGTCAATGTGAAGAAACTCATATATGGCTCAAACACTATCTGGCTTATGGAGCTGGAAAATTGATTTTTTTTTAAATTTTTTGTTTTAGCATCCTGGGACAAGGAGCACCAGTTGTCTGGCACCAAGGATAAGGGGGTCATTACAGTCAACATGGCTTCACCAAGGGGAAGTCATGCTTGACCAACCTTCTAGACTTTTATGACATTACAACCAGGTGGCTAGATGATGGTAGAGCAGTGGATGTGGTCTATCTGGACTTCAGCAAAGCATTTGACACGGTCTCGCACAGCATCCTTGCTGCCAAATTGAGGAAGTGTGGATTAGATGATCAGGTAGTGAGATGGACACAGTTCAAGAAGAACAGGGAACTGCTTGAGAGAGTCCAGCACAGAGCCACCAAGATGATTAAGGGTGTGGAGCATCTCCCTTATGAGGAAAGGCTGAGGGAGATGGGTCTCTTTAGCTTGGAGAAGAGACTGACGGGTGACCTCATTAATGTTTCTAAATATATAAAGGGTGAATGTCAGGAGGATGGAGCCAGGCTCTTCTCAGTGATGCCCAATGGTAGGACAAGGGGCAATGGGTGTGAGCTGGAGCACAGGAGGTTCTGCTTAAACTTGAGAAGAAACTTCTTTACAGTGAGGGTGACAGAGCCCTGGAACAGGCTGCCCAGGGAGGTTGTGGAGTCTCCTTTTCTGGAGACATTCAAGACCCGCCTGGATGCATTCCTGGGTAATTTCCTTTAGGTCCCTGCTCCGGCAGGGGGATTGGACTAGATGATCTTTTGAGGTCCCTTCCAATCCCTAATATTCTGTGATCTGTCCACAGAGCATCTGTATTTGGAATATAACCAAAAGGAGGCAGTGTTAGAAGAGTGATTTCTACACCAGACTTGGAATCTAGTATCACAGGATTCAGGCTTTGGCAGCAAAGCTGGCAATGTTTCAGTCTATCCCTAACCATTCAGTCCAACATGACTGCACACTGCAGTGCTCACTCCACCTACCACAGCCATAATCCCCTGACAGTCTGCACTCACCTAAACTGGAGTCACCAAGGACCCATCTTCTGATGAACCTTGCAGAGGTGATTCCGAGTGAAACAGTATGGTTTGAATTAAAAAAAAAAAAAAAAAAAAAAAAAAGGATTTCTACCAGCGTTAAAAGCAACGTTGTTCTACTCGCTGAGCTAAACCCAGAGAATTCTGAAGCTGTCATGAAACCTGCTCAGGTTTAAAACCACAATTACTTACTAATGCTTCTAATATTAAAGTTTATTATACACATGGATTTCCTTACCATCCTAAGTTCTTAAGGATCACCAGGTCAGTATCAGTTCCCTCAAACGTGAGGGAAGGAGCTAGCCAGCACCACCACGAGCAGCAGGAACACGTGCCCACCTTAATACTTCTCGCAATAAAAGGCTGGCCCAGGCATGCAGAGAAAAAGAAGGTAACAAGCTAGTGGTGGAAAAGCAGGTTGAGCTAGATGGACTGAGAATAGCAGCCATTTGCCTCCACTGCTGTTCTCATCAAGTCTCATTGCTACATGTTGAATATGCAAATTTAGGCCTGCTAATTGGTTCCCTTGGCTATATCTTTCTTCAAAAAAAAAAAAAAGTTCAAGAACACAAAGAAAAAGAGCAGACTGTGTATTTACATATTTGTGTTAATTATAAATGACAAAATGAGTGACTGCCTGAAAAGCAAACTGTTTGACTTTCAGTCTAGCAGGCAGCCCCCTTCTCCAATATACAACATATGCATTATACACAACAAATGCAATTAGTACAGACTAACATGCAGATTGTCATAAAATAATTTTCTCCACTGATGTAATATATTTTTAAATATGCAAGCACAAACCTATTGCACTTGCAGCAAAATCTTTATTCTGTGAATTCACAGTGGGCCGTGTTGCAATAATACCATTTTTAAACAAGCCCACCGGTAAATAACATTCCATTGCATTCTAATTCCTCTCAGTTTTCATGGTTTGAAGGTACTGCTGATGGAGCTTCATGTCAAAACAAGTCTCACCTCAGCTCTATGGGAGATTTGCTTATAAAGCCAAGCCAAGCCATTGTTCACCTGCTTCCTGGGGTGGATGACATGACATGAAGCAGACAAGAGGCAATTTCAGGATGGAGACCAAATAAAACTAGTTGTAAGCAGACTTGTACTGAATTTTAATAGGGAAAAGCAGCTAAATATATATATAACAAATATATAGCATTTTACAGTCATCATTTGCTAAGGAAGTTGTATGTACATAAAGAACTGCAAAAAATAGCGTGCTGCTTTCATATTCTCTCTAATTAGTTAAACATTGTGACTGGAACCACTACTGCAGGGCAGTTACATGTCTCCTGGCCCACTGAAGTACAAGGTGTTTGGGGGACAGTGTTAGGAGGGAGGGAAGATGCAGGGACTTTTTTTAATGGAGTCTTGGAGTTATTTTTTTGAACTTTTCAAAAATAACTATGGTTTATCTCCTCTAATTAAAGGAAACAGGTTTGGTCCTGCCCAAGATTAAGAAAAATAAGACAGCTAAAAAAGGCAGATTGATAAGGCAAATAGATATTGTCCAAGAGGTCAAGTACAGCCACATGTTAAAGAAAATCTGTACAGTACACAACTGACACACATCCACAAGCACATTTTCTCAGATAATTCATATAATTCATGCACTCTCTCTTCGTTCTTGTTTTTGTATGGATAGCTCCATCGCTATACTGTTCCTGCTAACAGGGGCTAAAGAATCCCAGTGCTATTGATATTACCCTAGTTTCGTTCTGAAGTAGCCTCCTTAGGTTTTTGTACTGTTTACTAAGAGGAGCGTCTCAGACAGATGGACCTTATTTTTACAGAGAGCACAAAGGAGCATTATTATCTTCTTCCTTTGCTGTTTCTTACATTTAACTTACTGGAAATCATACCTATATCACCCAAGTTAAAGTGGACCTTGCCTGGAAACAGGGCAAACTACCACAACAGGGAAAGCAACTAATGGAAGTACTAATTGCTAGTCCTTTCCAAAAGGCCATAGACCTCAATCAAGTGAAAAAACAGATTATGCTGTTCTTAAAAGAAAGGCATGGCAAAATGACCCTCTAAACTGAACTTAAAATCAACTAAAAAAAAAAGTGTGTTAATTACTAAAATAGCAATCAGCATACCTAACTCTCATTTACAATGAAAAAAAGGATGCATGCTTACTTAAAACAAAAAAGTATACATTGTAACATATAGTCAATATTAAGAAATATTCTGCTACTGAATAAGGCTTTTGTTTTACTCAATAGCCTTTTTAATCCTGTTCATCATCAAAATCCTATGAGCAAGCTGCAAGCAAGTGGCATTGCATTACCAGTGCTAAATGAAATATCCAAAGCTATAGAAAGCATATCTGGTTTTATAAATTTCATATTGGAAACTGGAATCCCAAGTCTCTAGTAACTAAATTTCTCTGCCAACATCAGTTGTCGACATTACCAGCACTGGAGCAATTCTAGAAATTAACCTGTTCAGGTTTTGATAATTACATATAGATGTTCACATCTACAATAAACACTCAGTCATCAGTTTAGGGCACCTTTATAGCAGAGAAAGGACAATCAAAATAAGAACTTCTTTTGCAGAGGCTTGTAACTTGTGTCCCTGATCACTATTAAGGTACAACAGTGGGGAGAGGGAAAAAGCAGGACATGGCTTGTCAACAGTAAGGATGTAGATGTATGCCAGCCCTCCACAAAATAACTGAGAAAAATACAATATTTATTTGAAAACACTTTTATATTGTTACATTGTACCTCAGACAATGCAAAAAAACAGTGGAAAAGTAACCAGATTCTATAATTACACCAGTATTTACAGGGCACATCACAGAGCTATTTCCGGATCCTTAAATCTCCACGTCAGATCTAACAAAGGAGTATCTCAGTCACAGGCACTCCCTGGTAAACTCCCATCCAAAGTGAACCAACAAGAATTAAATAGAATTGCATGCTCTGACATGCTACTTCTGAGGGGCAATAATATAATAGGATAATTAGAAGAAAGCAAGTTTAGATTAGTAGACTGACCTGGTTAAACTGTCATTGAAGAAATGTGGATAATTATTACTGATTTTGTGCTGCTAAACAGCCATAATCAGGAAACAAGCCCACATTTAAAAGGTTAGGATTTAAAAAAAAAAATCCAACCAACTAAAACCTACCATTAAATGTATCTGCAAATTAACTGGAATTGGCATAATATTTTTCTTCTAGTATTAGCTGTACAAAGAGGACATACGAGACCAAAAATACTATTTAAAAGCAAATGTGAAAAGGCTTAGATGTTTGGCTGAAACTAACCTGGCAATCCATTATCTATTGCATATTAGTTATCCATCTGAACTTCTTGTTTATAAATTAGATGGGTTAGATATAAAATACTTATTCTGTTCAAAGTTTCCTGAAACTTTAAATCCTGTCGATTATTATGGCACCTGTCAGAGGCATTCTTCCAGATCAAGTTTTCAGTGTGTCAATCAGAGAGGCAAAGTTTGTCTAAAGAACTTGAGACAATTTAAAATTCTGTAAGAACAGACTCTTACAAACACTAAGTTGGCATTTGTTTACCTAGCCACACATTTCCATCAGTTCACATTTCATCTGATCAGTTTTGTCTGTTAGAAAACAAAGTTATCTTCTTGTTAGGCATAGCATTTTCTGGGTTTGGGAGAAATTAAAATCGAGGTATTTTGTTAACTTTGCCCTGTAAACTACACACAGGTATGCACTACTGTTGTTACAACAGGAAGGCAGTTGCAGTAATAAAACCAAAAAACTTTTGGTTTTCATTTCCATTTCAAAGAAATGCAGCATCCTCGACAGAGTGACAGTACCACAACATCACTAAATGGGTTGTAATTTGGGCTTTCAGCCAAATCAAGTCTGACTTCATGTGCACAGGATAAAGAGTATAACACGACTTTTCTACAGCACCCATGTACAGTATCCCAGGCAGAAATTATACCATTGTCTCAGTTTTCCTAGTCAGAGCTTCCTTCCTCCCAAAACTTTGCCTATGTAGAAACACAGTGCTTTTGGGAAGTTGTTCTGTAAAGCTTACCTGTACCTACCCAGTAATCCCAAATAAGCCTCCATCATGCTTGCAAAAATCAGCTCAACAAAATCCCTGCACTAAATGAAGTCCAATGAATTCATTCTGAAAATCACTGCCTAAAAGGTTTCCCCTAACCTTCAAAAAGCTTTGATTTGTATCTTGATTTGTCTTAAGCCATGCAAGTCAGTATTGGGGGTGAAAAAGGAATTTATTTTTTTTTGTTCAGTGCACAGCTTTATAAATATCTGTTCAGCCCAGCCTCAGTTTTTGAACACTGGCTCTGACTCCTCTGCAGATCTGTACCCTGTGCCAATAATTAGAGTTGTACACCACCCGCCCCAGTGCCATTTGAATTCAGCTGCGTGTCACTATGCACTCAGGAGACTGCAACCTATTTCACATGCCTTGAGAAGCCTTGAGTCATAATGTCCACCATATTTAAATAAGTCTAGTAAATAAAGCAGCAAACTGTACAGTGTTAATTCTTTAAACCACACACATCTAATGAAACTGAAACATTATGCTCCTTTCTACAGGAAACTTTGAAAGAACATCCCCTACTTCAAGTTCCCTGCAATTCTTCCATAGCTCAACATACCAAAAAATTAGTAACCTTTTCTAATCTGACACATGGCAAGCTCCAGCTTAAAGAATTGGTATTTCATTTTGACTTTGTGCATGGTAGAAACAAAAGCAGTTGAAGCTGACATCTAATATACCTGAAGTAATACAGAGTTTCAAACACAGTCAAGCAGCAATCATCAAATGCCATGGGTTATTAATTCAATATGGTTTGCGATAGAAGAAAACACTTACCTGAGGGTAAGGGTCAACTGTTGCTCCTTTGATTTCACCAAGTCTCCTACTCTAAAAGTTGTACAGCCCAGGAAGCTTCGCTACAAAACAAAGAGGAAAGAAAAGAGACCATTTCCATTAATTTTTTAAGTGCTGAACAAGAAATAAGGAAGAAAAAAAGGCCTATAGGAAATGTATAGCGAAAAATATCGCAGCCATACAAAGATCATTGTTAGTTTTCATTGACAAAATGAAACATGCATGTTTACAAGGAATATGTTCAGGTGTGACACACAGCCTTGCTGGAATGAAAACACAGATAGTTCTGTCTTCTTTTTGATCAGTCAAGGTGACAGTGTTTCTTCACTAAAACTCTACAGTGGCACAGTTAGCTCAGATGAGTTCTCTTCTTACAAGAGCACATCCTTCTTAGTACGATAAGAACACATTCCACAGCACCATGTCTATACAGTAGCCTTTATTCAGACACTTCATGCCATTTGAGTGCTAGTATTTGCAACCTTATCATTTGGAAAGAGGAAGAGGGATATTTGGAGTGAAACTAATAGAGGTTGGGTCACTTGGGGCTTCTTTCTGCAGCACAATAGAACTACAAACCCATTTAAGATCCCTAAATCAGAGTCCTCATATGATCAGGGTTAAGAAGCAGTTACACTGCTCTCATACATGATCTAGGAGCTTTGGTCATTGTACCCACTAACCATCTCTGAGTGTCATATCTAGTTCTCCAGCATCATGAAATTAAAGGCGAATAATTTCATGGTCTTCAAAAATTCTACGGATTTGTCTGTTTCATATTTTTATGCTTATTTAGAATAAAATTTTATTTGCCTGACAATGCAATTCGGATTTATTTGCAAAATTAAACTGTGAATAAACCCACGACCCAAATGAAAAGCATAATTGCTAATATTCAAGGGGTCTAATTTCAAACAATGTTGGAGAACACTTTTTCCATATGATTTTGATACAAATAGTCTACCCCAGGGGCTGAACTGGCAGTCAACAAACCAATCTAAACTTGCACATGTGACTTGGAGAAGCTTGAAAAGTAGGCTTTAAACAGAACCGCTGCTGTAATGCTAATTGCAGAGCAATGTTCCTCTGTAATTTTGCTAGTGGGGTACTTAACAATTATACATCTTAAAATATGTGTCTTGAGGAGTCTGATGAATAATCTCAGCTAGCCAAAGAGAAAAGTCTCCATAATAGCTATATTAAAAGTTGAAATACATCGATTACTTCACTGAGACTAACTTGCCGCCAAGCTACAGATTTTTCAAACACTAGCTAAAGTCCTGGAAAGTATGCCAAGAAAGCCCTGGTAATGCAGGAAAGTCAACACCTTAGGCTAAAAATTTAAAAATCCAGTTATTTTTAGCTTTTGTAGATATAGGTCTGATGGCTGACCCAGATGGTGTTTGGTGTTTTATTCAGCTCTAGCAGGACCAACATTTCCCACTGCCATAAGGTGTCCGTCTTATCTGGAAGATTCTAGCCTTCACATACGCAGAAATGACATCCTAATACCTTTGGAAAAGTTCTCCAGACCTAGACAAAAAAATAAGTTCTCCGTATGTCACCAGTGCCATTTCTTAAAGTGAACCCAACGGCAACTCCTACAGCAGAACTTTTTATTCTCTGCACATGAAAACTAGAAGGCGACAGGCCAGGCTCATTGAGGCAATGCAACTCCAAGCTCTCAATCTCATCCAGATTGCTTGAATGGCAGTAACAGGAAGTCAAGATAGCTGTGCTTGCCTCAGGATAATTTCAGCTGAAAAGGATTTGCAAGAAATATGTGAATGGGATTACATCAATCACCAAGACTACCATTCTTGCCTTGGTTTTTTTATTCATTTAACACAACTTTTGCTATTAAAAAAGCTTGCCAGCTCCTGCTAAGAAGTTAGGCAAAGCACCATTTCTCTTCACTGGGTGTCTGTGTCTGCTGATGTTGGGGGGGGGCGGAATTAATGAAAAAAAAAATGCTTACTCCAACATCTGCTCTTGGTTCCTTGTGATCAGGTAGGACACTGGTGCGGACCTGAGAGAGAAAGGAAAAAAAAAGGCAAACCAAACATTACTTTTTTGCTGTTACGTTCCAGTAAGAACGATAGAAGTGCTCATGCATTTTTTTCCTCATACTTTCGACATTTTGGAGAAAAAATTAAAGGGAGGTATATATGCATACATAATTTAAGAACAATTAATTAATAGTTTCAGCCCAATATCTGCTAATATCTTCTCATTCCTGTGGAGAAAGTCTCTCACCACTACCCATTTATCATTCTGAACTTTCCTGATGCTCTAAAGGGAGAAAGGCTGTGCTCTCTTGCTCCTTTCCGAAAATCAGACTCTTTGGCTCCAACATGAATTCTATAATTCTTCATCTAGAGTTGTTATTTGGAACCAAAATTTTCAACCACAAATGAAAGAATCCAGCACATTAAAAAGTATTTTCCATAAATAAGTACTTGCCCTTGCAGGCTGATCTGCAATAGACATCCCGATTCCCAGTCTCACACAATGTACGACCCTGTCTCCTCCTACCATTTCCTGAGCATCTCTGAGGTAACAAATGTTTGTAGACATTAATAGAAGGAAAGTCCCTGCATTCTCCCTTACATGGCACCTTCAGTTGTCCCTATATTTTCTTCAAGGTAGAGCTGCTGTTGCACACAACTACTTTCATTTCACAGGGAAAAGTATGGGACAAGCTGACTTCCTCTTTTTTCTCTATTTCCCAAAATACAGTACAGGTTTGGGGGGAGTGGGTTTAGTGTCTATATAATTTTATTGTTGAATGTTGTCTGATAACAGAGAACTGATTAAACAGTAAAAATGCAATAGAAAAAGCATAAGAAAACCTCTGTAACACCCCTCTAACATGGCCAGCCTGAGCCCATTGGATTAGCTTTCTGATAAAAGGATGCCAGCTTCAGCAACACACAAGGGAGGCACGTTCTGAGCACATCTGCTCAATTCCTAGCCTAAATAACAGATATCCATTTATGGGAAGGCCCCCCCCCAAGGACAAATTTTTGGCATGATTTCAAAGTAAAACTCAAACTTACATTGCACATCTGTCAGCAAAAGATTCATTTTGTCTTATGCCCTCAAATGTGTCCTGCAATTCTTTTATTCTAGCTGCAACTTACTATACAAAAGAAAACCTTCCTTTAAAAGAGAGATCAGTTTATTTCTGTTTGTTATCCTAAATACAACATGCTGTTAGAAAGGGTCAACCAAAAATCTACCAGAGACATTACAAAGTAGAACCATAGCTTTTCTCAGGCAGCTCTTACCCCTTGATTCTCTACAGTGAGAACATTTTTTTTCCCCCACTAAAGCCTAAAGATAATAAAGAAATGTTATAATTAATTTCATGAGCGTCAGCATACTTTAGAAATCTGTGTGAGTCCTCATTTGGATGTAATTTTACATTTGCATTTTTTCTACTAATATAACATTAGTTAAGTCCAAGGCATTTGGCCTTCTACAGAACACTAGTACAAAACTTTCAAAACAAAATTTGTATTTGAAACTTACTTTTAAATACTTCAGGTCACAAAAGAAAATAAAACTACTAGAATTTCCTTGCTAGTTATACCTGTTTTACCCTTTTAGAGGCTGAGGAAATGGGGGAAATAACTTACAGCAGACTGTTTCTGGAAAGAAAGGAGTATCAATGCCAGGCCAAAAATTCTGTGTTATTTTAAGATGCTAAAAAGCTGTTCTATATGCTAGCCTCAAAGAGGTAACATCTAGCCCAACATAGAAGTAAGGTAGTTCCATTTTCTAATTATTATGGATATTTATTCAAGAAACACAAACAAATAATTTAAGAATTAACCTTCCTCTTCATCACTAATTTATAGGAAGATGCGTTTGTAACCCAGACGCAGTTCAGCAAGTATTATAAAACATCTGTAATTGGTTTTGCATGATACTAAGGTGTGCTTTAAAGCAAGAGGAAGCCCAAGTATCTTTTATGCTTATTGAAATCACTGGAATCAAACACAAACTTAGAATCATAGAATATTAATTCCTTTTTTTTTTCTAGATAAAGTCTCATTCAGGAGCACTTCTGTTTTTCTGACCCAGCAGAGAAGTGGAAAGTGATGTAAAAACCTGGCAAACCTACACTATAAGCTTTCCACATAACAAGAACACATTTCATGATTCCAAATGGAGTTAAAGAAGGAAAAAAATTTATGTTGCTTGTTTGCAGTTCCAGGCTTAGTTTCATTAGTGTCACAATGAAAGGAGTAGAAAAGGTATCCACAAACTTCAGTTTTCAGTTCTAAAAAACTTCTTGGTTCAGCTAAATGGGTTTTTGTTTGTTTGTTTTCATTTGGTTTTAATCACTTTATAACCAGTAGTCATAGAGTCAAATGTATAAATACTGTGTTTGGTGGGACTGGCATTAGATTGTGCCTCTTCTATCTCTGAAATATATTTATTTTGAAAGGAAACTGGATTTTTTCATTCAAGTGTGTGCAAATTTATTTATTTATTTATTTTAGAAACAGTTTTAAAATAGTCATTAAAAAAAGACCAGCTATAGTCTGGTCCCTTTCATGCTGTCTCTTGGTTGAGTTCCCAAACATACCTAAACTCCCAGAATACTGCAATTATGACAGTCCCATTATGAGATGTCCACATAGGCCCAGGCAAGCAGCGTTACAAACACAAAGTCAGACCATTTGCAACCAAATATAAAACATAAGAAATTCCTCAGCTCTGGTGCCATGCACAAGATGAAAGAAGAAAAAAAATAAGAGAGAAATACAAAGGATTTGAAAGTGCACATCTCCTCCCTGTACATTACCTGATTAAACAAAGTGCTGTACTTTTTAAAAGCTTGTCATAAACCAACTTTTCCCTAATGGCCCCAATAATATTCAAAAACAACTACAAAATATAAATACAAACAAAAAATCAAGTCATCTCAAGTATCCATTATTCTGTTAGAATTTAAGGTTTTTCATTATTTGCTCTAAGTTTTCCTGAGGAAAATGCAAACCTCTGAACTGTGAGTTTATTCAGAACTGGGGTAAAACTGAACTTCCCTGGAATAACACACATTACAGCCTTACCTTCCCAGATAAGAGTATGAAGAAATCAAAAAAGGAAGCAAGAAAGACACCTTGTAACCTAGGTCAAATGTAAAATATTTCTGACAAGTATTCATTGCAGTGATTTAGTTTGTGAGAGAATACAGCTCTCTTGGATACACCACAGCTTGTCACACCAGGAAGGACACTAGTGTACTTGAGTGGATACTCATGATATGTTTCCTTTTCTTTAAGTCTCTTGTAGAAGAATACACCATAAGTAGCTAGCCTCATACCTTCTAGCGCATTTATCACAGACATACCCAAATTTCTCTAGGCATAAATGCTAAATTTAGTTTTAATTAACTGTCTTTAAGTATAAGACAGCTCTGTATCATTAAAAAGAACATTTCTTTCAGTCGTTCATGGCAGCCTAGGCCACACTGACACACACTGTCAAAGTTCAGAAGACTGAATCATTATCGTTACTGAAACTTTTGTACCTGCCCTTTATTAAAGCCTTTGCATTTCAGTTTATGATCAAAGGCCAAATTTGGAAGGCACTTAGTTTTGCAAAGAAATAACACTAGATCCTTTTCTCACTTACTCTAGATTTGCCTCATCAAATCACCAGTGGCTTCCAGTGACTTTCCAGTACTTACTGTTGTTGGCTGCTCAAATGCAGTATTCCATCACCACTGTTATACGCTACCAGCATCTCACAGTAGCCAAGTGCACGTCACATCAGGGAAAACATTGGATGAAACTACTGAAAGCAGTCACTGAAAAATTGACTTAGGCTCTTTCAATACAGCACCTTTCTGGAAGGCATTCACAATTTCACTCCCTCAGTATAACTCTCGCAGTGGTATAAGAACACATGATGTGCAGGTAATTTCACCTTTAGACTACCTGGAGATGCTTGGGGACAGTGACCATCTGCACCTTTCTTTCCCCCGTAGGCCCTTTTGCACAGAAAGTGAATACAGAACTCTGCTAACACAACCACCACGACTCCACAGACAGCTGCTATGGACAGTCAGTCCCCATCCTCACCACCATCACCTGCCTGCCAGCCCATCTGGCACCACCCATCAGAGTCACGGAGTAACTATATTTCTTGGAACCATATTGGATGGAGGACAATGTTAACACAGTAATCTTCCCACCTTTAGTGCAGAATTATTTCTAAGAGTCCATATAAAGCAAAAAAAGAAAATCTTTTCCCAGTAGGCATGCACGTGCTATTGTAGGGTTTACAGTTCCAATGGAAAAGTTGCTATGCAGAGACACTAACAAATGCTTACATTAAATTAAAGATGAAAATAAGTAAAAGGAACATAAGCTATATCAACTTTACTGCAATGCTTTTGAAGTGGTATAATATATGTTACGAGCCTATGAGGACAGGCTGAGAGAATTGGGCCTGTTCAGCCTGGAGAAGAGAAGGC